AGACTTTTAGGTAATGCGTACTATAATTTTATATTACATATTATGTTATAAGTAACGCATATTAGATACAAATTTGTGCTTTCATATATTAATAAAAACTCCGTAGTCTAAATAAAGTCTATGTCGATTCAGTTTATAAACAAATATCAATCTAAACGGTACAGTGACGAAGTACACTGAACAACTTAAACATAATACAGATTAAATAGTTTTGTGGTCGACTTAAATGGAAAGTTAAAAAAAAATTTAAATACACCTATGCTACTTCGTGGAATATAGAATTTAAATTACCTAAACGATATTTTTAATCTAAAATGGCACATAAGAGAGCTTTACAGCGCACAAACATGACCTGCTTTTTACAACCTAGAGACTTCGAAATCGCAATAACCTACGCGATGTAGGATGGAGTGTCAATAACTTCCAGCCAAAACTTTTCTCCGCGATTTCGCTTTACCATATTTGCCAGATAGCTACAAAATGATCGGGACGTGAAATATCCTTTAAAAAGGCAATGATATAACAATTAATAGTTTAAAAGTGAAAGACGCACACGAAACTGTGTCAGGCCTACGCCTAAAGGGATTTGTAAATCAAAAGGACATCCGCATGTTTATAAATTTAAATGGAAATTCTAGTTCCGATATATGATTTCTACTGAAACTATATCAACAGTAATATATTTGCTAAGGCATGATAAAAATCTGTAATTGTTAAATATTTCAATAAATGATATATGTCAAATCTCGATCATTTCGATTTGGGATCTGTCGGGCAGGTTTTTTACACAATTAATTGATTAAAAATATAAGAGGATGTACAACTATCCTATAAAGAATAATATTTATAAATCAGATCACAGGTTATCTTGTCGCTGTGACGTCACGATCGGGTGGGGGGAAATATTATGACACAGTAATTGTAACTCATCAGGTAATATTTACACAAATTTAATTGTAGCTATTTTTAATTATAAAGTGATCGGTATTGCGACTGTATTTGATACGATATACCGTGAATAGTAAACACAATAAAACTGCTATATGGTGGCAATAACAGTATATCTATAATAAGATTCTGAAACCAACAAGAGAGTTGCCAATTTACAGATGGCATATGGACAAAATGTTTCTATGTCACAAATGAACTTTTATGTTCAATAAACCTTGCCCACAGATCATATCGGTTACCAATAACGTCTTAATTGACAAACCACTAAGAAGCAGTCTTCACAAATATATACCAATATTACAACACTAGATTATAATAAAAATACTGGACCATAAACTTGATTTAATAGGAATTACGAATACGTGTATACATTATTTGTATATTTCAATTACAACGCAACATTAATGACGTCGCCGACATCAATCCTTACCAATAATAATAATTAGAAAGCTATGAAAAAAAATTATAAAATATTTCTTTTTTGCAAGTTATATCGTCGAATACTTAAAAAATTTAACTATTGCACTGAAACTATCTAGCTCTTCCATTAAATGCTAAAATGGCTAAAGCATCGGCTAATCCCAACAGAAATAACTAAAAGGCGACTGCGAGCGGGGAAATGTCTGGATTTTCACACATTTCAACGAACAGTTTAAGTCTTTCATAACAAATAGATAAATATTTAATGATAGCAAATTACATCCCGAAATAGAATTAGAATTTTTCCAGTCGTATTTTTTGTTATGGTTGTTTAAATAATAAGATTGCACTATAAATACAAATTAGCTATCACTTACTACTAGTTACTTAAACAACAGGCGTGTCCTATATAAGAACATACATATACTTCCAAGTTATAGATATCAGTAAAAGTGGGACCTGATTTTCCATCACTAGAAAAACTTTAACTGTAAATTTAACGACGTTGCAAATTTTTTAAGTCCAAAATTTCGTTATGAAATTATCACTATTTTTTTTTTAAATATTTAAAACATTTAAAAATCACCGCTCGCAGTCATTACTTACTGTTTCACCGAAACTGATACTTTGTTTCGCGATTTTTTTTTAAATTAATGTACGTCCCACTGCAATTTTTTACGACCTTAGATTTACATTCCGTTTTTTTTAAATAAGATAATATCACACCGGGACAGGGGGTCTGTTCGATATTGACCCTTTTTATAATGGCATTACGATTGAAAATGTGGGTGCAAATTAAGCTTAAGATTTAGACATGGTTACATCTTCAATAATACCTTTTTTACATTACTTGAAATATTTATATTCATATAAACAGCAGTATGCTATTTGCGGACGGATGATCGTGTTTTCTATGTTTGAGATAATTTTATCTGTTAATAAAATAAACAATAACAGTATAATATAGAGCTTAAACCCTATGGAGATGTTAGAAAATAATCTCCTCATCTCGTCCTGTGTCATAAGAGGCGACTGTGTGAAATACCAGAAAAGCTAATGGTTTCTGATAGATGGCAGTGTAACCCTTTACGCCAGATGTAAAATAGCTAGCGGGTTTAGGTTAACTATAAAAAATAACGGAATCAACGCTAAGCAGATGACTGTCACGCGACTAAACGTTGTGTCTGTCTGTCATGCCTTTACCAATCATTTTTATAGTTTTTTTCATAGCGTTAACGATCGTAGAGTCATCTTTGCTAACCTTGCAGACCAGTGATGGGCAGCAGCGTCAAAGATACGAGTCTTTGACGACACAGTGGACATGTTTAGTGACTTACAAAACGTGGCCAGGTCTCGAAAGGCGCTACGAGGTGCGGCTCGCGAAACGGTTAGAGGGTTATTATTCACGGTATCGGACCCGTATGAAGTGATAGACACGTTAGAAAGACGGTACTGAAAACCGGAATTACTTATAGTAAGTAGCTGAAGTACGAAACAAAGTATCTTTCGGTCAACCCAACTAAAGGAAACGTCACTGTTTATGGGGAATCGTAATACATTTCCGCAAGAAATATTTAAAAAAAAATGCTAGAAAACTCTTTGCTCTCTTGCCGATATAAAATATTCATACTGCACACAACCACATATCATTTCATAAGAGACGAAGCCTTAGACGAAAAATTATTTATAATAATTTCTACTAAATAATTTGTTTAAAATTTTGAGCGTTTTCAATGAACGACGAAGCTCTTGCTCGTTTATGTAAAGATTATAATAATCTGACAGACATAATAAAGTACGAATCAGCACATTAGTTAAAGTGTATATATAATTTAATGTATTATATATTTTATCTGTACAGATAAATTATTCACGGATGCACAATAATTGCTTATTATTTGCAATCCAGAGTAAAATAAATCATCTTAAAATACCCATCAAAACAAGTGCGCAAAAATGAACTTTAAGCGCCACGAAATAATGTTTAGAAATGTTTAAAAACTTTAGCTTTCAAAGCCTTTATTTGTAATTATTTCTGGTAGGCTAACTAACATAAATAAAAAATATCCTTATCAATTAAACTTTAAATAAAAATAAACCTATGCTTTTCACAAGAACTAAACAAATATATCGAGCAAAGGTTTCCCGCACATTCGGGTCGTTGATGCTTACTCAAAATAAAATGGGTATGGCTATGAAATAAACCTCTTTAAATACAGTCCTGTTTATCTCGAGCAACGTAAGTTAAAGTCGATACGCCGTACCATCCCGCGGTACACCTGGCCGTGTGACAGCGGACTAGCGGCGACCACAACGCACTGAGTATATAATACAAGGAAGTGGCTACATTGTGCATTACCAGTTCGGAGGCGCCTTTGACTACCTGAAAAAGAAAGCTTTAGTAAGTTTTTTTTTAATCTAGCTGGCCCGGTAGACGTTGTTTTACCCTTTTCGACAGGTGGCGCGATTAGTTTCACTTCAAATTTATTACAGTATAAATGTAAATTTAACTTAACCAGAGCGTCAGATCCAAATTCAGTGATTACGTGATGGTAAACGGATGATGAGACCCATAAACACTAACATTTATCGACTGATCTGCGGACTACAGCTGGTAGCCAGAGACAACCTCAACTTCACAATGTCAAAATTGAGTCTAGATCATAATATTATGTTACACTAATGTTGACAATCCAGATTGCTTCTAAATACCGGGCTGAGATGGAATGCCTTGTTGTGACCAACAAAAGGTTCTTCTGTTCTCGTCCTCACCATGCGAATGCACAGCGGCATTATGCTACTATATCCCGCTGATATCTGTGCGAGCGTAACCCTTACCCGGTCGAGCCGACCCATTATTAGTTCTGCCGCCATAATATAGTTGCAGTATAAAATGTATGTTGAAGTGCTACTGTTTTAAATGAAGAAAGTAATCTAAATTGGCGGTTTTCTTTCATGTACGGCCCATTGTTATCAATCCGCCTACCAAGATGACTATGGCATATATCCTCTTATAAGGCAAGCTTAGGGATATTTGTCATATATTGGGATGCTTATGTTCAGCAGTGGACTTTTGATAGGCTGTAATAGTATAGGTTGAAAACAAAAAAAAAATTGTTCGTTGGTGTTTATTTTTTGTATTTTATCGTTAATTCATATTTTAAATTTTTTATATTTTTTTAAATATCCATAGCAATAATAAGCTGGCACTTCAATCTCTTGTTTCCAACTTTCTTGATTGTTATTTTTAAACCTATCATCCTTCCACGTTTACGGGCGTGAACATTGTAAAGACCTAGCGGCACGAGTCGTGAGCACAGCTTTGTTATACCTAATAGTCGATTTATTAGGTGTCTTTGCTGAAGTAAAAAGGCGGCGCAGTGTGGGTACGGTGAACATTCTACTACGCGATTGGTTGGTTAGTTAATCTTTGTCAATCATCGGATATTCACGAGACATTCGCATGTATATTGGCTGGAAAATGTACATGTGCGAATATTGTCACTTTGTGCTGACGACTGGCGCTGCAAATTATATAAAGTAAGATAGAGGGCTTGATCAGCGTCGCTATTATAGATTTTTTTTAATGGTTGGTTATATTGAAACTTTGTTGTAATAGCTCACCTGGTTCAGCTGTTGCGTGCGCCTAACATCGGGCCGTACGCGGCGAGCGCGCAGTACGTTGCTAACAATGCAGACGGCGAGTGTGGGCTTGGACTTGCACCATGCTACACATAACAATACAATTATTAATTTTTTTATAGGAGAGGGGCGGCTCACCTTATGGTAAATGACTACCGCCGCCCATGAACAACCGCAACACCAGGGGAATTGCAGATGCGTTGCCAGCTTTTTAAAAAGGAGTAGGCTCTTTTTTTGCAGGTCCCTAAGTCGTATCGATCCGGAAAAATCGCTGGTGGTAAACTATTCCACAAGGAAGTTGTGCGAGGAAGAAAACATGTTCTAAATCGCACAGTCGTGGACCGCCAATCATCCCGATGGTGTGGATGGTATCGGGAGTTCTGTCGCGATGTGCGTTCGTGAAATTTGGCGGCTGGGATTAATCCGAACAATTCCTCAGAGCACTCCCCGTGGTAAATGCGAAAGAAAATGCAAAGAGATGCAACATCTCTTCGCAGCGCCAATGAGTCGAGCCGATCGGAAAGGACTCGGTCTTGGACGATTCGAGCCCCTCTGCGCTGTAAGTGGAAAGAGCTGTCACTGGGGAACCCCAGCCCAGAGATGGGAACAGTATTCCATGTGAGGCCGAACCTGTGCCTTGTAAAGTTGCAGGTGGTGTGCCAGCATGAAATACTGTACTGCTCTGCTGAGCACGCCAAGCTTTTTAGAGGCCAATTTGGCCTTCTCTTCCAAGTGACCACGAAACTGCACATCACTCGATATGTCGACGCCGAGGATTCCGATACTGGCTGAGGCAACAAGGGGAGTACCTTGAAACTGAGGAGATACGACAAAGGGGTTCTTTTTAGCGGTAAACGCGCAAACTTGTGTCTTCTGAAGATTAAACTGGACTAGATTTAGTCACCCCGAGACTTCCCCCAACCCAATCAAAGACTCGACTTCAGACACAAGTTTGTTCCGGTACTCGGCGACGTTTTCCCGAGACATATTGGCACGACCGGTGTATAGAGCATCACCAGTGCTGTCATCCGCATAGCAATGAATGCTACCGGTTTGCAACATATCATTGATATGCAGAAGAAACAGCGTTGGTGATAGCACGCAGCCTTGTGGAACACCAGCGTTAATGCTTGTAGTCGGAGCATGCACCGTCTACAACGGCCTTGATGCTCCGATCTGCAAGAAAGCTAGTGATCCAATTGCATACTTTCTCGGGAAGCCCATAGGAAGGAAGCTTCGAAAGAAGCGCTTTATGCCAAACCCGATCGAAGGCCTTTGCAATGTCCAAACTAACGGCCAATGCCTCCTCCTTGGACTCTGCTACTACTGCCACCGCCCATCTCTGAGTTAAGTAGACCAGAAGATCACCAGCTGATCGACGCCGACGAAAACCGTATTGGCGGTCACTATCATCCTCAAGGTAACGCATGAGGTGGCAATTTATAACGGATTCCATTATTTTGGAGAACAAGGGGGTGATGGCGATAGGCCTGTAGTTGGACGGGTCTGAGGGGTCGCCCTTTTTTGGGATCGGGTGGACAAAAGCTGTCTTCCCTGATTTCGGGAACGCCTAGGGAGTAGGAGTACCTAATAGAGTGTATAATATTCATTATACATTTACAATTATATTCTTAAGTAATAGTTCATTATTTTTTGATACATTCTTTTTGGTCGCCGTTACACGACAAAGTAAAACTTATATTAACATTTTTCACTTATTATTAAAATATTGAAATATAAAATAATAAATTATTATTAGTATTGAACTATATAAAAATAAAATAGAAATAAATTTAATTATTAAGTCTAATAATTATAGATATGAGTTTAAAACACACACTCACGAGATAATATAGTCAGTCGCTATCTTTATAAATGCGGTAACTGCGTAAACGGACTATAAATTTTATAAAACGGTACTTCTGTCCGATAAAAGATTTAAGTAGACCTCAAATTACACTTAAAGAAGTTTTACTTCAATAATATATCATACAGTAAATTTTCATTATTTATAGAATATGAGCACTCAGTTTACATGATTGTAAGTTGCTGGCCTCGTATTCCATTAAGAATCAAATGCAGAGACATTTCTGTCACCTCTGAGAATTAACATGGAATGCTTTGGTACTAGTTCAAAGTGTATCCGGTTCTTTACATTCGTTATACGAAATACAGTAGCATTTAGTTGCTATTTTACTCTGGAATTCTGTGAGAGCGTGGTTCTACCATGGTCAAGCCGATCCATTCGTGCTACAACAATGATATAGCTTTAGCAGAGCTGTATCACGTTCTCTGTGTCACTTCAATGAGTGAGAGGACATTGACAGCTTTATAAGAGGAGGCGCAAAGTTAAGAAGGTTACCTTTGCCGAGTGCGATGAGTTTGAAGAATGTGGGGAGGTGGGGGATGCGGTAGAGTGGGGGGAGTGCGGTCCGGCGGCACAGCGTGCGTGCGCAGAGAGCGCCCAGCTGCAGTACAGCTCGGCCGCCTCGCCGCCCTGCGCGCCGCCCTGCGCGCCGCCCTGCGCGCCGCCCTGCCCACCACACGCCGCGCTCAGTGCGCAGAAGCTGAGCGCCTTCCACCCGCCATATCTATAACATTCGTTTTTTTTAAACTAAAAGTAAAGTCTAGAAACGCGTAATGAATGCTTTGACCCGTAGTCACATTACATTTCTCATCAATTAATAATGACGATGCTCAATGAGTTAGTTACCCTTTTAGACTAAGATGGAATACCTCGTCACAAGTAAATAGAAACCATTAAATCTCACAACTATCACCCAGAGGTATAGGCAGAGACTACAGAATTCCATTTGACACGGTCTTGACACAACTCTCTGGTTTCTTTCACATCCATATATTACATCTTCTTTCGTTAAATGTACTCTTAATTTAACCCATCTTCAATATATCGCCTATTTGGTCGATTACCTTCGATTTATTACTGGTAAAATACTACGCTGTTATTTTGCGAGAGTGTAGTGGGTAGTGACCCGAGGCAAGTGTGACAGTGGACTGAGTGTAACAAATGCAAATTATGCGGCATAAACACGTTTGTTGGTTTAATTCCATCTATTGAACAATGCATGAGCTTTTACGCTATTGACTATACCGATAATTACTTCAACTATTTTATCGACAGACGTCATTTTTTTAAAACTGCTCAGAAAACTTGCCCCATGTGGGGAAAATCTCATTGTTACACAAAAATGGATGTTCAAATCGTTTATAGACCTTAAAATATTTTGACATTAGTATTATCTCTTCAATTTTGTCGAAACCACAGATAATAATAAAGTAACTACAAAAAGAAGCGTATTGTCACACTTGCCTCATTGATGGGATAAGTGTGACAAGTCTTCCAACTCAATTAGTTTTAATTACCTGAAATTACAAAATGCTACTTGTAGATACTAAAATGCTTGATCAAACAAACAAGCATTTAATAATTGATGTTATGAAACTGAATTCTCTATGTTAAATCCTTAAAGAGTAGAAGTATTTAATGTCCATTATTAATTTATGTCACACTTGCCTCGGGTGACCATACCACATTTATGATGTTTCTTGTTACGTTAAATGATTGTGTGGTAGCCGATTTCAACCACGGCAACAACTGACTCTTCTGACTTCTGACACAGTCAAGCATTTCTTTAAACCTACCCATGGTGGATGTAACGCTTAAGCGACCAAACTAAAAATAGGCTTGGATGCAGTAGCATGGATATGGGGACAAGGAACAAAAAGCTGATACGAAATCGAATGTATTAGCACAAATGATGACTCCGAATGAAGAATTGAACGTCGAAACTATACGCCACCTAGCACACGCGATTGTCATTGCCTAGTACATGATAACAATGATATTAAATAATCTTCCTCTTTACGAGCTCTAAAATTACACTGCTAGATATGGGCATCTTCCTGTTGTAGAAGACATTTGCCTCCTTGGGGGAGGCCTATGTTCAGTAGTGGACTTGTGAAGGGCTGTAATGATGATCATGAATGAATAAATGTGATCTTAAAAATATTTATCATACCAATTGCTAACAACTCAATGGTGACCAATTCCCGGTATACCCAGCACTTTTGCATAGTTATCGCAACAAAGCGTTTTCTCCTTAAAAGCAGTTCATCAGATCAAATTGAGGTGCTATAATACAGATGTCCTTGAATTTAAACTCCTTGTGATTATTTTTATACTGCTGATCAATTATGTACACTTCTGATATTTTAAATTATTTTGAGATGCTAATCAGAAAAAGTAATTTTAGATTTTTTAATTAATACGTAAATAACGATGACCAATTATAAAAATTAAAGGACCAATTGTGACCATTTCGTGACCAATTGAAATAATTTTTGATCCAATTTCTAAGATTTATTTGAGCTGCCAAAATTTATCCAATGTCTATGGAATTTTAAACTCTCTGTAGTTAGTGTCAAAGTATTGACCAATTATTAAAAATTACTGAACATTTATGACTATTTTGTGACCAATTCAGAAGACTTTTTAAAAAGCCGAATTTCAAGATTTGGGCGGCGCAGCGGCCCAATTAGCGAATTAGATAGAGGACATTTCATGTAGTCTGAAAATTTTGCAACCGTATGCCAGAAATACAACAATGAACAGCTTATTGATCACTCAAAGTCTCAACATCTTACAAAAATATGGTACTTACTTGTCGACAACAACAACAGGTCCATTCTTGTACTCCATCTGACAGCCGGCAACAAACTCTATTAGACCAAAAGAGTCTTTATAGGGCTCTATAAGCCTATCTAGCGCCTGTTCCCTCTCGCTCCCACAAGTTTGCCGCACTGTTCTAATAAACTCATTATCATCCGGTTTCCCTGCCGTATACATTGTCGTATCACCGTCCAACCAATTACTGCACTTTATAAACTTAACACTTAGCTGGTAGTCATCTTGCAACGAATGCACACTGACATTAGTAACTTCTATAACCCTATCGGATGGAACGTGATCCGGCACTTCGGTAACCTTCTCGAACATGTAGCAAGGTCTATGTAGCTCTGTTTCCTCTTCTACGGTGAGAGCGGGTTCGACCGGTGGAGGGGGAGGTGCTGTATCTGGTGGGGAACCGGCTATTCTCGAACCCCAGTCGGGGAACTTGAACTTCGTGGGAGAACTCAGTTTGAAATTCTTCAGCGACATCTTTGAAGGGCTCTTTGGAGATTTCGGTCCGTTCTTCTTCTCTGAAAGGGATGAGAAAAGATCGCCGTTCGCTATCGATTTACGAGCGGACAAGTCCCTGCTGCCGGTGCTAAGTCTCTCCAACCTTAGTTCTGTTCTATCGAATCGATACGCTGGTTCCGTATCTGTCGCTGGGGAGCAGTTTTCGGGGATCAGCCGCTCGTCATCCGCGCAATCACTACTCTCCTGCCGCCTGTAGCCATTCATTTCACGCTCCGCAGGGGTTGCTGGTGGGGATTTTCGGTCCATCTTTCTATGGGCGACATAAATATCTTTCGATACGAAGCTTGCTCTGAAGTTGGCTACAAATAGTTCTTTTTCTTCTTCCGTTGGCCAGAAAACTTCGCATTCCTGCAAATTGTTGAATTTAAAATGTGATTTGCGTGACAATAATGTACGTAAAGATAATAATTTGAATAGAATTACTCATAATCGCCACACTTGCCAAACGCTTTGGCGAAAGCAGTACAAACGTCTTGAAACTTTGTAGATGTTTTTTGTACCGGTCTTGCTATTTACATCTGTCATATTTGAGATTGTGGTATGTCTTATAGCCGCCTTTTAATAACACCCATGGGACACGAGTGATGAAATATCTTACTCTCTACTCTACTAATAATATATAAGGGTGAGAAGCGACACAGCCCACCTGATGATAAATGGATGCTACATACATAATACATAAACACTCACGCCTGTCACCCAGAGGGGTAGAGGCAGAGACTACGGACATCCATTTGGCGCGATCCTGACACACCTCTCTCGCCTCTTTTACATCCATATATCTACGCATACACGCTCGTCGGTTAAGGGTACTCCTAATCTGGCCCATTTTTAATGTATCGCCGATTTGGTCGATAATCCTTCGTCTAGGGCGTCCCTTCCCGACCCTGCCGTTCACTTCCGCAACATAAATTTGCTTTGTCACTCTTTCCTCGTTCATTCTTTCTACATGACCAAACCACCGGAGCATTCCTTTCTTAATCCTTGTCACAACGTCATCTTGCAAACCACAATTTTCTCTTATCACACTATTTCTCACCCTGTCATTCAGATTCAGCCCTAGCATACTCCTTAAGGAACGCATTTCTACAGCATTTTATTCTACTCTCATGCTTCTTCTGCCAGACCCAACTTTCACTACCATACATTAAAGTAGGGACTAACACAGCATTATGAATTGCCATACGTGCCTTAGTTGACACATTCTGACTCCTCATAATTAGCGTGTAGAGCCCCATTCACTCTATTTCCTGCGTTCACTCGTCGTTCTATATCCTTATCATATCTACCATCCCTACTAAATTAAATGGATGCTGTGACCCAAAAACACCTAAATCTAGCCTCGATTAGAATCAAATTGTCACCCCTGAGGACTAAGATTTAAAAAAAGAAAATGCTTCGTTATCATTATAAAGAATCTTCGGTTCCCTACACTCACCATACAAAACACAGCAGCATTAATCTGTTATTTTACACTGGTATTAGAGAGCATCATTCTTCCTCGGTCAAGTTGACTTATTCGTTCTGTAATCATAATATTGCTGCAGTGTGCCTCTACCACGTATAAAACGGTGCACGTATAAAATAGTGCGTACATTCTTAATCGAGAACAGGTTTTCAGTGGTCAGTGTTGGCACAGTAAACAAGCTCGACAGGTATTTAAATTAGACGTTTTTACGAGATAATTAGGTACCTATGTAGCTTCAATTGGAGCGTTAGGGTTGTTACTTTTATTTTTCAACAAAATGAAAAAGTTTTTTTAAATATTTTTAAAACTTCATAATAAATAAAAATCGAATAACATTAACTAGCTTTATAAGAAAATCAGACTAAGTAAAATTAACATAACTACATGTTGATTTGATTTAAGGTTATTATAAATTGTGGGCAGAAAAATGTTTTCGTCTTCTACAAGACGTACTGAATGTTTTTTTTTTTGTAAATTTCACTTTTATAAATTTCTTTCGTTCTAACACGTCAGGTTTGCGATCCCAGACATGTTGCCAGAACCACTAGTCTCGAGTCTTATTGGATCGTTACGGAGATTGAAACGTTTCCTGAATATAGGAATCGCGCACAAGTGTGACAGGGTGTTGGTTAGTGAACGGACGGTGACGGTGTGTGCTGATGCAGGTGCGTAACGGGTGTGCAGCAGGTGTGTAGTAGCTGTGTAGCGGGTGTGTAGCGTGTGTAGCGGGTATGCAGTAGATGTGACGCGGATGTGTGACGGGTGTGCAGCGGATATGCAGCGGGTGCGTAGCGGGTGCATAGTGGGTGTGTAGCGGGTATGTCGCGGGTGTGAAGGTGTGTAGGGGGGGATGTGTAGGGGGGGGTGTAGCGGGTGTGTAGCGGGTGCATTGCAGGTGTGCAGCGGGTGTGTTGCAGGGATGTTGCGGGTATGTTGCGGGTGTGCAGCGTGTGTGTAGCGGGTGTGTTGCGGGTGTGTTGCGGATGTGTTGCGGGTGTGTTGCGGGTGTGTAGCGGGTGTGCAGCGGGTGTGCAGCGGGTGTGTTGCGGGTGTGTTGCGGGTGTGTTGCGGGTGTATGGCATGTGTGCAGCAGGTGTGTGGCATGTGTGTAGCGGGTGTGAAGCGGATGTGTGGCATGTGTGTAGCGGGTGTGAAGCGGATGTGTGGCATCTGTGCAGCGGGTGTGAAGCGGATGTGTGGCATCTGTGCAGCGGGTGTGAAGCGGATGTGTGGCATCTGTGCAGCGGGTGTGAAGCGGATGTGTGGCATCTGTGCAGCGGGTGTGAAGTGGATGTGTGGCATCTGTGCAGCGGGTGTGAAGCGGATGTGTGGCATGTGTGCAGCGAGTGTGTAGCGGGTGAGCGGTGTGCGGTGTGCGGAGTGCGGGTGCGTACCGGGTCGCGCGGGTCGTGCAGCAGCAGCACGAGCTGCGCCGTGTGGTCCCACAGCAGGCGCCACAGGTCGGGCGCGGCGCGCGCGCTCGGCAGCTGCGCCACCGCGAACTCGCGCGTGCGCCGCCGCCCGCACACCCACGACGCGTTCACGTACTCGCTGCCTGCCGCCGTAACCAAACATTTTACATTACATCACCTCTCGTACCACCAGAGCAGCGCCACTACTTACCTCAAATGTTTCACTAATTTCATAGCTTAATTTATATATTAAGTTCATCTGTTACATTTTAAATTACGGATATTTCTAACAATTAAAAAATTAAAGAGCAAGCCAGATGTTATGTGAATTTATAGTTTTGAAACTGATACATTACTGTTTCTTTGATAAGCCTGTCTCACTCTGCGCTTAAGGCATGAAAATATACCTACGCTACGCGGCCCCTACAAGGGGCTAATTCCGTGAGACAATCACGCGCGCGTTAGAGCTGATGCGCACCTTGCGATAACAAAAAAATATTTTTAATACAGTTCAGTTCAGCTCAAAAAGTGGCGTATTGCAGGGACGTATAGCGTTCGGAATGTGGGCTATTACATACTAGTGCTTTTTCTTTACCTTTTCCGAACTCGTGCGTTTTCTTTCCCAACTGTCAAAATAATGGCTAAACCAACCACGAAGTTTTTACTAAAAAAAATTCATAGATGTTTTTATGATTCATGCAAATATTTCTAAAAAGAAGCTACTAATTTGTTTCAATATCAGATTTAATGATTTGATTCAATAAGTTAGGTTAAGTTTCATATCATTTAAATTTAATTTTATTTAAATTTAATTTTCATTTCATTTCATAGCATAGTTACCTTTGCCTACCCAGAATGGGTGAAGAAAATAAAAAAAAATCTCTGCTTATATTTTTTTACGGTTGGCGCCATTTTCCAAAAATGTTCATTATTAAATTGTTTCATTTTTTCGCAACTGTATTAAGAATTAAGTATACGTGCGGAACCGTCATTGCAACTTGTTCCAACTGTCAACCCTCACCTTCGGCTGCGCCTCGGCTCCGGTAGACATTTGTCGGAACTCTTTGCAATGACAGGCTTTCCGCACTCGTAATGAAATATACTATTTTCTCTTACAATTATTTAGGCACTTTTGATATTTATTTTTGAGTTTTATTCAAGTATGGCCTCTCAGTAAGCCAAAAAAGCATAGCATACAGGTGCTTAAATAACAATAGGATTGACGACTCTTCAGTAAAAATACTGTTCCTAAAGATATCGAAAGGTAAGATATCATTATTTATAAGTCGATCTAGATAATTAGTTACCTAGGTACTGACGCCATAGTTACTGATTTATTATATCATTAGCGACCCGATCACAGCTTCGTATTTTCGATTTTTTCGCGTATATTGTTAATGACCTTAAAAATCTATCAGTGTCAGTAGACATCCAAGTACTAGTGTTACGGCCTACGGCTGCTCTCTTAAAGGATCAGACCTTCAGGGGCCCATGAGCTGAAGACCTCTCGAGCAGACGTAGGTCGGGCCTCCTAAGGCCACGTGGAATCTCTCTAATTACACTAGAATATATGGGGGAGCGTTATACTACGGCCAGTCGACCGGAAGGAATTTGGATGAATCTTACTTACCTATCCAAGGCGACTGGTCCCTCCGGAGTCGGTCAGGTCGCATGTGGTTGTGTAGTGCAAGGGAAAGAATGGTGATGTGGTGTGTATCTGGGTGTGACTGATGGTGATTGAACCTAGACCTTAGCCGTCGGCAGCAGCCCGAGCGTCGACACCGCTCCAACTTGAGGGGGCCTTTCGAGGTTATCCACAGTCACTTTCTTGGTTCACCACGATGACAGTCACTTAACTCTATCGTACTATTAACTAGCTTACCGAAGCCACTAACTATCGCGGGGTATAAGGTTACCGCACAAAACACGCCCGGATTTTCTGGGTCAAAGGTCACTACCGGTTCGCGTGGCAACAGATAGTTCTAAATACGGAGGCCGCACTAGCTTATATTGTCGAATGCACTTATACAGATTCTGAGTCGGACCCAATAAGTCCCGGGAAAGGCTATCCAAACAGGGAATGCGCGTTATAATTCCTAGACAGGATATTTACTAGACGCCCTAACTATTCCGCGGTTCCCGCACAAAATTAACAGCGTGCAAACATTAGCACATCTGGCCGATGACTGACTCGCTTGCGACCCGCGCGCCACTGCCACGCTCGGAAGAACTTCAAACCGGAATCGCGCCGAGCCGAATGACATCTGGTGTCGATTCCGACAACAGAGTTTTGCGCGAACAAACCCCCGTCCCGGACATAAGGATTTAGGTCCGCGAGCAAACCGGTCAGCGGGACAAGGTCGAGACTGCAAGTTGCAAGACCGAATCTACAACCAAACTAGGCCACCTTAGGCAATCCATTAGGTCTTGCAACCCTAATCAACGCCTCAAAGATATCCCTAATGTGGCAAGCCGGAGGGTCAGCCTCCACTGGATGCCCCTCCTGGGCATCGCAGCACTTTAATAAGTCCTGTACTGGACAGAAGTCCGACGACCTCTTTCAAACACCTATCTGTGCCCCTATGATTAGTTCCGCAATCCGACCGGATCAGCTCTGCAAACAGCGACGCTACACGAAGCTGCCCCGACAAATTTTGTGCCAGCAGTTGCTTCAGTGCAGAGCGCACCCACAAATTCCACATGAACGTCGTCTGTGGAGAGCCAAACGAAACGCACAGATAGTCCCTAGTATGAATTTTCAACAAGTAGGCCTAGCCAGGCCACCCACCATAGTATCATTTACTAAAATAGTGCGGCAGCTGATTTCAATCTGATAATCTCCAAAACTAGCTAGCCTGTTAGGCAAGTAGTCCCATGCTCATATTTCAACTAATTTTTCAAAAGCATCAATGTTCAACTACAGAATTAATTCAACCAAATTAATCACCGATGCGCATAGGTCAACTTGCAAATTAAACAAAACAATAACGTAAGGGACAGCCCTACTTCTTCGCAAAGCAAAATGGTTAAACACTATCATAAACATAAACATAATTTTTCAAATAGTGCGCCATTCAATTTCAGATGAATTCAAATTTTCCTTTCAGTAAACAGACGCAACAATCAAATACAGTGATTAAATATATGTACAAAACACATGCAGTAGCATTTAAAGGAGTAGATTAAATTTAATTCTTTTAATTTAAACCGCTACAAATAGGAAAATTTCGCGGAAAGCCCAAAGCAATTTTTAATTTTAATTCAAGTATTTTTTTTGACTAAGTGCTCGACCAAACCAAATCTAATACCCCTTGACAGCGTGATTCAACGCTCCAGGGGGGCCCTAATCTTCCCACCACCAAGGGGAGGCCACATGGCGTGAACCCGAGATAAATAGAGCACAACCTCTAACAGTTGCCACTCGGGTTGTACGCCTTCACTGAGGCCGTCGGCAACAGAACATTTTGACAAGTGGACTGTTGACGGCTTAAGGCTCAGTGGAGGCAGCCGTGGTGGGAGTTAAGGCGGCAGCTAGACAGGGCCGCCTCCATCAAATGGGGAACAGTGGTACACCAGTCGCGGCCACTCAGCTAACGGGAGTGAGAAGGGTCCAGCGGACCGATGAGTGGCCGTGAAGTTCCTCTCCACACGCTGAGGGGGGGTGATGACACCCCCGCCCCTGGGGGAATTACCCCCCGACTGGTCGGGGGAGGGGCCCCTTTCAAACTTAGGGGCCTGATGGCTGGCCGGCGGGCGCCGAGAGTCGCCCGGCAGAGGGCGTGGCTGAGCGCCCCCGCCCGTGGGGGTCGAGGGCCTGGCAGAGCCCCGAGAGGAGACGCCGTTCGCACCCAGGCACAAAACGGCATGGTGATTGCCCTGGCAATGCAGACAGGGCCGTCGATGCGGACAGTCTCGCTGGAGGTGCCCTCCAAGACATGACCAGCACCAGCGGCGCTCCTTGGCGATAGTTCGCCTCGCAGGAACCGGCTTACCTAATAATTTCGGGCACAACGTTACCCGGTGATCAGATGCTCGACAATAGGAGCAGGGGGGGGGGGGTTGACGACGACTTGCCTGGAGGATTCAGCCTCTCACTGGGCACGGCTCGTAAGTCGTCAACGGTGCCCGCCGCGCTCTCTATCTGCCGGCACTGCTCCTCCAAAAACCGCAGCAGGTCATAGAAGGGCGGAATATAGGAGGCCTCGTCCCCGCCGTACCTCTCCTCAAAATGGATTCGCAGGTCGAGAGGTAGACGGGACAGCACGATGCGGAGCAACAAAAAAGCCCATTCGCCCACTGGTAAACCCAGCCGCCTCAATGTATTACAGGCCACCAAGACTGGATCCAACAGGTCCGGACGCAGTCTGGCCCGGTCACTAAGCAGCGGGAGGCTTAGAAGCTGCTTAACATGCTCGTCTGCAATTCGCCGGATGTTGGCGTATCTTCTGGCTAGGAGGTCCCAAGCAGTCTGGTAGGCGTCGTCCGACAATTTCAAGTGGCCGACGACGCCCAGGGCCTCCCCCTCCAGTGAGGCCAGGAGGTACGCCATCTTTTGTCTCGGGGTCAAGTCACTCCGGGCGTCCACTAGGCTGTCGAAAAGACCAACGAAGGTCAGCCATTCGGAAAGGACCCCGGAGAACTTTGGCAGGTCCAGAGTTGGGAGTCGTCCCAACAGCTCCGGCTGAAGCTGCTTCAGAGAGGACTCGGGCAGGTTACTCATCCGAGCTTCACGCGCCTCCTCGGCATACCTGCCTTCAGCCTCGATCAACTCGTCCGTGAGCCACAAGAACTGCTCATATTCCGCAAAGCAAGAGTCCAGGACTCCCTTCTCCACATCCGAATCCTCGAGCTCAGCGTAAGCCTCCTCCACTGCGGCCCTTCGAGCATCCACGTGCTCGAACCGCTTCATCAAGTTATGGACCCTATCCGGTCGACCTATCAAAGCATGGGCACTTGTGGCCCAGCGTAGCTCAGTCCGCAAACAACGGATCAGTAGCTTGGGCGATGTCATCACTATTAAATGCAAATTACGACGCGGCTTGAGCACAGATTACAAAAATAACAAACAAAAAATACAACAAAAATTAACAGTTAATAAATGCAGTTCCTATCAAATCGCGTTGAATAGAAATTACACAAATACGAATTACTACGTATCAACCAAATACAAGTTAGCTCAAAAGAAAAGGCACAATCAAACCAACAAATAACAAATACTAGTGCGATCGAATCAAGTTAAATTCAAATTGCGCAAATACAAATTACTACTCTTTAGTTCAAATACAACTTACAGTATAAACGAAGATACACATCACGGTCGATCAACAAAAAATGCCTAGCTCGGAAATCGACCCTTCGATAAGTAATCCACTACAACTATCCGACAACGATAATTAACCGATTACGTAAAAATATCCATCTACCTACACGACGTATATCTCTAGAAAACTCCCGCTTGCGCAACCTAGGGCGCGGCTTTTCAAATCTACCTACTAACCAAAAAAAAGGCAAGCAACAAACAACTTAGGGAAATAATTCTATTATTACGTACAAAAAATATTTTTACGTATCACGGACGGGCGTGATTGTAGATACAAATTAAACCAATCAAACCAACGCTCCCTGCCACCAAAATTGTTTAATGTTTATCAAACACTATAGTCGGGATCGACCGGGAATCGAACCCGGAATCGCGCTCTGCTACCAATTTGTTACGGCCTACGGCTGCTCTCTTAAAGGATCAGACCTTCAGGGGCCCATGAGCTGAAGACCTCTCGAGCAGACGTAGGTCGGGCCTCCTAAGGCCACGTAGAATCTCTCTAATTACACTAGAATATATGGGGGAGCGTTATACTACGGCCAGTCGACCGGAAGGAATTTGGATGAATCTTACTTACCTATCCAAGGCGACTGGTCCCTCCGGAGTCGGTCAGGTCGCATGTGGTTGTGTAGTGCAAGGGAAAGAATGGTGATGTGGTGTGTATCTGGGTGTGACTGATGGTGATTGAACCTTAGCCGTCGGCAGCAGCCCGAGCGTCGACACCGCTCCAACTTGAGGGGGCCTTTCGAGGTTATCCACAGTCACTTTCTTGGTTCACCACGATGACAGTCACTTAACTCTATCGTACTATTAACTAGTTTACCGAAGCCACTAACTATCGCGGGGTATAAGGTTACCGCACAAAACACGCCCGGATTTTCTGGGTCAAAGGTCACTACCGGTTCGCGTGGCAACAGATAGTTCTAAATACGGAGGCCGCACTAGCTTATATTGTCGAATGCACTTATACAGATTCTGAGTCGGACCCAATAAGTCCCGGGAAAGGCTATCCAAACAGGGAATGCGCGTTATAATTCCTAGACAGGATATTTACTAGACGCCCTAACTATTCCGCGGTTCCCGCACAAAATTAACAGCGTGCAAACATTAGCACATCTGGCCGATGACTGACTCGCTTGCGACCCGCGCGCCACTGCCACGCTCGGAAGAACTTCAAACCGGAATCGCGCCGAGCCGAGTGACATCTGGTGTCGATTCCGACAACAGAGTTTTGCGCGAACAACTAGTAACTGCCTACTAATGCAAGATCAGCATATACTGGTATATAGTTAAACACTTGGTCGATAATAGAAAGAGATTGAAAATAGCAGCACTTCTTATTGTCATTCTTTCATTAATAATGCCGTCGTGTGTCACATGTTTGTAAAAGCAAAAAACGTGAAACAGAAAATGAAAAGTAGGTAAATTATCTAAGTTTCAAAGAAAAGAAAAAACAACGAGAAAAATTTAGATTATAACAACATCGTTCACGTTGTTCTAATCTAAATCTTAATTTTTCTCGATGTTGCTTATTAACCTTCCTCACATTGAAAATAACGTTCTTATTATCAGCAAATTACTAATACGGTGAATTCTATGCTAAAATAAAAAATAAAAAAATTAAATTCTATGAATATCTACCGCTAAAAAGAACCCCTTTGTCGTATCTCCTCAGTTTCAAGGTACTCCCCTTGTTGCCTCAGCCAGTATCGGAATCCTCGGCGTCGACATATCGAGTGACGTGCAGTTTCGTGGTCACTTGGAAGAGAAGGCCAAATTGGCCTCTAAAAAGCTTGGCGTGCTCAGCAGAGCGGGACAGTATTTCATGCCGGCTCAACGCCTGCAACTTTACAAGGCGCAGGTTCGGCCTAATATGGAATACTGTTCCCACCTCTGGGGTGGCGTTGAGACTCAGGTATACCTGGGTCTCACCGGACTATCAAACCTCCCAGATTCTCACCGGACATGGATGCTTTCGGAAGAGACTGAGTGAAATGCGACTGTGTGAAACAAGTATGTGTGAGTGTGGTGCGATAGAGGAGGACGTTCACCATGTTCTATGGGAATGTCCTCTGTATGACGACCTAAGGACGAAAATGATGGATGGGCTAGTTCCGTCGGTTCAGGGACCGGTCTATTACTCGGATCTCGTCAGCGGTGAGGTGAACTACGGGCTGTTGCGCGAGTTTGCGCACAGATGGCATGACCGCAGGAGAAGTAGCGACAGAATGTTGGCAGACAGGCCTGACGACTTAGGCGTCAGTGTGCCGTCAGCCCCAGAAGGGGGAGAATGACGTAAATACAGGGACAAGGAAAAGATTAAATATTTGTAGGGAGTCAAGAAAGTGCGCGCAGGAAAGAGCCACGTGCAAGTACCGCGCGCATCTCCCGAGATTCGGCCCGTATGACCTGAGGGTCGGTGGGGCCATGGGAGGTGGTGGGTTGTTCCCACCTCTGGGCAGGGGCTCCCCAGTGCTAGCTCCTTCCACTTGAACGCATCCAGCTCAGAGCGGCTTGAATCGTCGACGACCGAGTCCTTTCCGATCGGCTCGACTCATTGGTGCTGCGAAGAGATGTTGCATCTCTTTGCATTTTCTTTCGCATTTACCACGGGGAGTGCTCTGAGGAATTGTTCGGATTAATCCCAGCCGCCAAATTTCACGAACGCACATCGCGGCAGAACTCCCGATACCATCCACACCATCTGGATGATTAGCGGTCCACCACTGTGCGATTTAGAAGATGTTTTCTTCCTCGCACAACTTCCTTGTGGAATAGTTTACCACCAGCGATTTTTCCGGACCGATACGACTTAGCGACCTTCAAGAAAAGAGCCTACTCCTTTTTAAAAGGCCGGCAACGCATCTGCAATTCCCCTGGTGTTGCGGTTGTTTATGGGCGGCGGTAGTCACTTACCATCAGGTGAGCCGCATGCTCGTTTGCCCCCTCTCCTATAAAAAAAATCTTACTACCAACTAATATCAAAGGATTTTCATTTGTTTTCTCACAACACCTAACACTACAGTACGAGCGGCCTTAACAAAGGCGTGTAACGAGCTAAGTGAAGACTCTCGCACGAGGACGTAAGGTGCATTTTGATTTAATATGCGCGTCGCAACAATCGGTAGGCTATTTTAACGAAGATCGCATCCGAGGCGTGCAAAGTATTATGAACATTAGCTACGTGGTAACTAGGTTTAAACTCGCAAGTTTTCTATCAAAAGTGAATCTTCTGTTCTTGTACTATTATCTATTCTGTGATAATAGTCTAGTACTGTTATACTTTTACTCATTAACAAAAGTACAATAGTACTAGTACAAGAGTACTTGCCATTGGTAAGTATTTAAGAAATTATCTTTTATAATGATTTGTTTAAAAAACTTTTTCACAATATGTTGATGCTGGGACATTTTGAAAGCAGCTTGAGCCAGCAGCAGTCAATAACGATGGTATCTCAAGGCGCCTAAGCAGAAAAATTTTTAACCCCCCAAAAAACAGAGAGGTGTTATATTATGTAGTATGCGTATCTGTCTGTGGCATCATAGGTTCTGAACGGATGAACCAATTTTGATTAAGTTTTTTTTTATTTGAAAAACCTTTCAAAGTCAAGTCAGGAAACATAGCTAAGAACACTATCGATTGTTCAGCTGTTTAAAGATCACCAGCTCTATTTGTTTCGGAGGTTTATTAAATTTTAAATTTAAATTATCTTGAGGTTAATATCACCATCGGAGAAGCGATTTTAACAATTAAACGATTGTATAACAAATAATTTCATCTCAATCCAAACTACTAGTGACGTCTAGTGAGTAAGCCCTCATTATTTTTCGGATTTATATAGCATTAATATTTTAAGCAAAATATAAAGTATTAGTAAAAGTAAAGTAAGTAATATATTGACTATATTACCTTCCACGCCGGGCTTGGGAACGAGCATGACTCTCGCCGAGTCTGAAGGCAGGATGCCACCGGGCCGGTTCTTATCAGCGTTGTGAGGTGCACGCGCGCATACGCTTGGCTCCACGCATGAGCGCGTTATTAACTGCAAAATTAACGATATTAAATAGTAAAGTAAATATAATGATATTAATATTTTATTGCTTGGCAACATCACTCCTCTATATATATTTTTTTGACATAAATATTTGTGCCGGCTGGAATACAAACTTAATATCCGCGTTTGTTATACCAATTTTCTCACCTGGAATTGTTTTTCTAGCAAATTCACTGGTGGAGGTCCTTGGTATACATTGTTTCGATTCGCAAGTGACCGCATTCGTTCCAATAACGCATAGTTTTCGGCTCGGTTTGCTCTGAAAAGAAATTAAGACATTAAACATGATGCAATTGTAAAATAATTATTATTAAAAATATATTCATAATGTAGTTTTATGTATTACTAACTGTTCCCCGCGACTTCGCCCGCGTGTAATTTAGGATTTTAATTATGTTGCGCGGAACCCTAATTCTCTTTTCTAGAATATAGTAGCCTAAGTTACTCCTCACAACAACAGCTCTCACTCACAAGAAACTCCCGTCCAAATCAGTCCAGCCGTTTCGGAGATTAGTCGGAACAAACAGACAAACACAGATACAAAAAATTTATACAGTGTATTTTTGTTATAAATTCCGTATATACTTTCATATTCATTTAGTAAAAAGCTGTTATTTTAACATTAAAAACAGACAGTTCAATTTTATTTATTTGTATAGATTTAAATTGTCGTGTTAGTATTAGTTTAGTCCTACAATTTTTTTTTTAATTAATAAAGGGAAAGATAACTCATGTCATGTTCCTTTTGATTCAAGATCATGCATATTAAAAGTAAAGTTAAATATGACTGTACCTTCTCATTTCTTCTTTCTCTTGTTCATTCATGTTATTGTATGCTTGCATCTTCTTGCTGTATGTGTCAGTAGACCGGGGAGCTAAATCGTACACTCCTTCGGAGTCATCCCCATTCACTAAGACTTCCTTTTGATCTTCTTGTTGAGTATCCGAATCCCTTGCCGATGACTTGCTTAGTTCACTGTTCAATTCGTCCGTTTTTATCGATACTTGGCTTCCGTTTTCTGCTAACTCTTTCTCGCTGATATTCTGACTTGATTTGATACTGGATGTTTCACCGTTCATTTCATTAATACTCTTCGGCCTGGGTGGATTGATGTCCATAACAGCTAACTCCTCCTCTGATATGTCTTCCAGAAGCTTCGCCAGGTATTCTCTGGCCTTTGAAAATTCCACTTCGGTGTTCCCCGAACGGACGTGCTCGAGCAAGGCATCGTGCACAAATACGTACTGTTCTTCAGTTTGGACTAAGTGATTTCTTTGGGTTCGGGCGCGGCATAGAAAACCGAGAGGAGACAGTGTGCCGGTCAGTTTCAATTGGTTAAGCTGTGCGTCTAGTACTATGTATGTGCCTGTGCGTCCAACTCCAGCACTGTAAAATAAGTGTTAATGTTATATCTTGGAACAAAATATCTTTAATTATATGAAAAAAAAATGTGTATTCTTTTATTATAAAAGTACGAAATGTAATATAGATAGGAAAAACTTATTACACCTAAGCATATTTTTCTACACTTAAATGACAAAAGCACTTGTACGCATGAATTTGGTTTGGCACAAAACTAGTATATCTGCAATACACCAGCTTTGTGCCAATCTGTGGAGGCAGTCTTCACAAAGGGCACAAGAGGACTTTACTATATGCAGCATACTATATGACACTTATTTACAAGAAGTTAAAGTTCAATGTCACGAACAATAGTGTCTCAGTTGGTATAGGTGATATTTTAAAAAATACGGCAGCATGACACATACGAGTATAGCAACAGGTATACGGAATAGGTCGCCGAAGCGACCTTTCGAAGGCCAGCACGGCAATATTACACTTATTCCAGAACGCTAAAGTTCAAACTTACCTGCAGTGAACGAGCACAGTTCCAGGGTCGGCGGAGGCAGCCTTCACGAAGGGTAACACAGCAAGCGGATGTCGAGGTGTTCCGTGGTCTGGCCACACCGTATAGTGGTACTGTAGTATGATGCGTTCACTATCTGATGTATCGTTCTCGTCACTTCCTTCGCAGTTCTGCACGGTTAGAAATTAGTAAACATTAAAATAAAGCAACCGCTGGTGGAAAAGGGGAGACTTTCTAGGCGGCGCACACTTCGTCGTGTAGCAGCATCACATGCGCGCTACACACAAACACTAACGCACACACACACACACACACACGCGCGCGCGCAAACACACACGCAAACACGCACGCACACGCACGCACATGCACGCACACACACACACAAACATACACACGCACGCACGCACGCACGCGTACACAAACACGCACGCACACGCGCGCACACACACACACACACACGCGCGCGCAAACACACACGCACACACACACACGCACGCACGCATGCACACGCACACGCACGCACGCACGCACTCACGTACGCACGCACGCACGCACGCACGCACGCAAGCACACGCACGCGCACGCACGCACGCACGCACGCACGCACGCACGAACGCACGCACGCACGCACGCACGCACAAAAAGCAGGTACCTTGTGAAGCGGGCGCGCGCGCAGGCGACGCACGGTGTAGGCGGCGCGCACGTCCTCGTGAAGCAGCGTCACATGAACGCCGCCGAACTCGGCCGAGCTGCCGCGCCCGCCCGCTGGCCAGTACATGTCGCACTTACGCTGATAAACAAACTATTGTTATTAATCTACTAAATATACTATTAACTACGAGGGGGAAGTCAAATAGCTAGCGAAATGAAAGGGGACGGGGGTGAAATTAAACATAAAATAATTTTTCCTTTTCGATATATTATCCATTAACACTTCTCCGACCGTTCAAAAAACCTATTTATTATACCTTCGAAAAAGATGTTTTGTCACGGCCATCAAAATAGGCTGAAATTCCCGACTTCGCTTCTTCATCATCTTTAAATTACTTTCCATGAAGCTCTTTCATATTTGGGAACAAATAGTAATCCGAAGAGGCCAAATCTGGACTATAGGGAGAGTGCATAGATTAATGACAAGCCATCGCGCGCTCTGAGTAGATACCGCGCTCCCTGCAAGTAACAGCTCCATGAATGCGGCATCTTAATATTGTAGTGTGTATAAGACAATTTGCATGATACTAGTGTGCGTGAAAAATTGTATATGCCAGCAGCTTAACTATTACCCGATTAACGGGAAAATTTATTTTATGCTATGGCTTAGTAGTTAAGTTCATAGTTATGAATGTATTCCAGAAACACTTAAAAATGAATAGTTTATTAATAACGAATGTATCAATATATTTGTGTATATTATGTATGGCTTTTCTTCTGAATAAATGACATATAAATGATAAGGCCTCCTTTTTATCACTTTAATTTTTTTATTTACATGTCTAACTAATATTCACAAATTATTTTAAAAAATAGTTATATAATATATGGTGTAATCAAAATAGTGTTTTCTATTCTACGAGTCAATATGAACAACTTTTACTATAGATCTATCTTCCATATCGCAAGAAAAATCAGGTCTTCCATACATTTTGAGCAAGTTTGTACGAAATTTTGTATGGAATAACTGACTTTGAGATATTTTTATAGGATCAGGGTGACAAACGAGCACTCAGTCCACCTGATGGTAAGTGGTTGCTGTGGCCCATAGACATATAAATCTATCCTCGGTTAAGAATCAAAATGCAGATGCGTTGCAACCCCTGAGGACTAAGATGGAATGCCTCGTTTCCAGTAAAAAGGGTCTCAGATTCTATACTCTCACCATAGGAAATACAGCAGCGTTAAGCTCCTATTTTACACTGGTATTCTGTGATCCTTCCCCGGTCGAGCTGACCCATTCGTGCTACAACTATACCAGTAATACGAGGGCGGCACTGAAAATTTCGGGAATCAAGGAAGTGACACAACATTACTATTTAAAAATGTATTTATTGCTTTTCGAAGTATTCTCCTCGAAATTTGACACATTTTTCCATACGATGGAACCAATCATTGAAGCAACCATTCCATTCGGAAGTTGGGGTCTCCTAAATTGCCGTTTTGTAGGCGTCCACAGCTTCTTCAGGTGATGAAAATCTCTGTCCACGCAATTTATTCTTTATTTTAGGGAAAGTATAGAAATCATTAGGGTTTAGGTCGGGGCTGTACGGCGGATGGTCTAATAATTCTGTTTTCTTGCTCTAAAAACTCTTTTGTTCTGTGTGCGGTGTGAGAACTCGCATTGTCGTGATGGAGGATGATGCGGCGGTTGCAGTTCTCTTTACGGAGTTCAGAAACGACCTGTGGCAAACAAATGCTAGTATACCATTCTGCATTAACTGTTCTTTGTCCCTCAAGAGGAATAGTCGTAACATGGCCGATTTTGGAGACAAACGTGGCCACCATTTTTTTGGCAACACTCCGTGAACGAGCAATTTTTGTTGGCTTTAACTCATTTTCGAACACCCAAACTCGTGACTGGTTTTTTGTTTCGGGTTCGTACGCGTATATCCAGGATTCGTCACCTGATACGATGTTGTATACAGCATTTGAGGATCCTGCGTGGAATCTTTCGAGAGTTCTGACAGCAAACCAGCAATAAATTGTGGTTTTGGATGGGGCTTCATCACCAAATGCAGAAATCATCCGGTCAACACACTGTTTTTGTGTTAAACCACTTCGAAAGTCACAATAAATCATCGCTCTTGAATTTTCTCGAGTCAATTCCATTTTCTCAACGACTAAACACGTTTGACAAAACCTTGTGACAAGACCGAGAATCTTTTTTTAAATAAATAAATGGTACTCAATTTTAAAAAATCAAGGACTTTTCAATTAAAAAGATTTTAATATGACAGGAACAGTGGAAATATTCCATTCCCGATACTTTTAGTGCAGCCTATGTATAGCTGCAGTATGGGTCTATCACGTATAAATTGTAAATTTCGAAGATGATTCCATAATAAGCAACCACTTACCATTAGGTGGACTGTATGCTCGTTTGTCACCCTTATTCTATAAAAACAAGTATCTTCCAGATGTACTCAAAATAATAAAAAACTGCGGTTGTCAATCTGCATGCCAAGCGTGGCAACGATATGAAAACCCTCCTATGAGGCAATCCATGGGGGAGGTCTATGTTCAGCAGTAGACTTTTATATAATAGACTAGCTGTGCCCCGCGGTTTCATCCGCGTCATCACGTGTCCGAGGTGCGCGACATGACCTAGTTCAAGCATTTTATAACGGCTAGGGTTTAAGTGTCGTTCGCGCGCCCAGCTAAGTATTGAATTAGTTTAATTTTACATTATCTCTTAAACTATGCGTCGAAATAACATGGTATAAAGAACAAAGTTTATCTTCATAAAATTGTCTTGATGATGAAGTAACTTTCGTTCGTAAGGATAAATAGGCCATGCCTAATAATAACGCTCATAAATCACTTAAATTTTCAATATTTTTTTATCACAAGATACCAAATTATCGCTTACGTATAAGAAATAGACATATGGTATCGCGGACTTTTTTTTAGAGGGAGTAAAGGTCTATATTTTTCTACAACATTGTATTTACGTATCCCTAACGATAGCACCAGCGTACGCGGATAAATCATTTCGGGAGTGCTTTTTCTTCTGACTTGCTTAACAAATATCCCAATTTAAGGCTAGCTGAGTAATGTAGCTTAATGCTAGATAGCCTATACTATTCCACATGAATCTGGCTATAATACACAAAAAGAATTTTTCAAATCGGACTGGTAGTTCCAGAGATTAGCGCGTTTAAACAAACAAAAAAACAAAAAAACTCTTCCGCTTTATTATATTAGTATGTAGAATGTAGATGGATGGATATATCGATGGTGGTTAAAAATATCGATACGATATATATTTCAATATTTTTTTCTCTTGCTCATCAATAGCTGGGCGAACTAATAACATTACTTTCTAAACATGTAGGCTAGGTATGGGAACCTTCAATTCACTCTAAATCTCTAGGTCAACTTAATGGTACCTAAATTAATCAGTACAAGAATAAATTTCGAAAATTTTGATTTATGTTTATTTTTGTATCGGTATTTTTGCATAATATGTCCCGTTCGTATATAAAGTACGGTCCTGAGCCACCTGCATCCATCGACTTCCTGCATGTCTTACCAGGTCGTCACTCCATCTAGTGAGGGATCGCCCTATACTTTGGCTACCGGTACGAGGCTGCCACTCTCGAGAACCTTTCTTCCCCATCGGTTGTCGGTTCTTCGAGCTATATGACCAGCCCACTGCCACTTCGGAAGGCTGGAAGTCGTCAAGTCTGCGTGCGAGACGATTCGTAATGACTCTCGAAAACAGCACGTAGACGCGGCTCAGAAGGGCAATCGGTCTGTAGTTCTTCAAGGGAGCGTTATCACCTTCCTTGAAGAACAAGACCACCGAACTTCCGCTCCACGCCTCCGGAGTAGTGCCACCATGGAGGACGGAATTAAAGAGCTTCTGAAGGACTTCAAGTACCGGTTTTTCATCCGCTCTCTTTCAAAAAGCTCCGCTGTAATTCCATCCTCACCTGGGGCCCTGCCGTTTTTAAGGTGCTGGAGAGCCATTCTAATCTCGCTCAGACTGACGTCCGGGATATCGTCTGTCGGATAAGACTCGCTCATGGATCGTTACTCACACTTGCGTGTGGTTCCAACGATGACGTGTACAGCTGCCCATAGAACCTCTCAACCTCACTCAAAATCTCAATTGTCCCGGAAACGATGCTGCCACACTCGGTCTTCAGCTTTGACAGTTGGTTCTTTCTGGCAGAGAGATTTCTGGCAAAGACTTTGGAGCCTTGGTTCCGCTCTATTGCTTCTTCAATACAAGCTGTATTGAAGTTGCGAAGTCCCGCCGCATGCATTTGGAGATCTGTCTGTTCAGTTGCCTGTATGCTTTCAAATCTGTTGAAGACTGTAGCTTTATCTCCCGTCTAACAACCATGAGATTAAGAGTGTGATCGGAGAGTTTTTGTGTACTTCTGCGGCGGGTCATGCAGAACTTAGCTCCGACCGCATGGACAGTTTCCACTAGCTTGTTATTCATACCGTCCACTTCATTGCAGTCTTCTAGGCACTGAAAACGGTTTTGTAACTCGAGCTGAAAGTTTTCGGGACTTTGGAATAGAGCACGAGGGAGACGTAGCGTTAACTTCATTAGACGAGACCTCTCCAACTTAACGTTTAGGTTCAGTGTGCCTCTAACCATTCGGTGATCGCTACCAGTTTTCACCCTCGCGATCACGGATACATCACTGAACAGTTGTCATCTGGTCGTCATAATTAATTCATAATGAAGAAAAAAACTTGTTGATAATTTTTTTATTTTTGTATAAGAACATAGTAATGACTCTTAGTTATATTTACCTTCATTTAAAAAAAATGTATTTGGCCTGACCTACTATACTTTTCGGCTTGACCATAGGTCTGACTAAGTTGGTGGTGGTAAATGGTAAAAGTTGGTGTGGTTAAAATAACCTCATTCAGGAAAGTTGTTTAGAAATTACACGAACACTATGTTAGTAATCATGTAATGCACCACCATTACGTGATTACTAACAAAGTCTGTGACGCATTAACGATTATATAATAAAGAATTTACCACACAGAGCACAATGGCGAAAAAATTGTTGATGGAATTATTAAAACCGTCACATAAGTAGTGTTACCATTTCAGGTAACAATAAAATAGTTTACTGTTTTTTATCAAATTAAGCTTGTCGCCTATCGAAGTCTGGAAAAAAATCAACATACATAATTTAAAACTAATTTGACTAGTTCTTGTTTAAAATTGTTGACGAATTTATTAAGCGTCTACTGATGTCACCATTAGGGATATCAATAAAATATTTGACTATGTTTTATCTAATCAAGCTTATGGCCTATCGAAGTCTGGAAAAAATAATCATACATAATTTAAAACTAAATTGACTAGTTGTTACGATTCGCCAATTAAGGTAGGCAAAGGTCTTATACCATACAGCCTAGTCTGATGTGAATTCGAACTGGAATATCTTTAATTCCTGACTTTCTGCAGTAGTAACACTAAAGAAAAAAAAATGGTTTTCAAAATATACATTTTACATATTTTTCATTTGTAGACGCAAAAAAAATGTCAACTAAAATTTGTATGGGAGTACATAATTGTCCTTTGAGGTTTAAAATTTGAAAGTATGTATATACGTTTAAACGAAGGATACAACTTGTTTGCCGGTACAGAATATGATCAGATCAGTGAGTTTCAAATTTGAACAAAATCCTAAAAGTCATAAAATACGCGTTATTTAACAGTTATTTAAGCGATGAGGATCTTTAAATCTGCATTTGCTTCATATTTGTCTAAATTTGATCTGATAAAGGTCATTCGATTCGTAACTCAAATATAATGAGCAGTACTCACGCGTCCGCGCTCCACGAGGTTGGTGATCATGACGACGGTGTGCACGCGGTGCTGCCAGATCATACGCCAGAAGGCGTCGAGCGTGGCCGGCGTGGGGCCCTGCGTGGCGATGTAGCGGCGCCGCCACACCAGCCACTCCAGCTTCACGCGCCGCGGACTCCCGTCTGCCGCATGCAGCGTAAGTCAACGCACACATATGCAAAAACACTTACCAAACATACGCAAACAAACACTTCTACGTATACTATGTATACATTAGACGGGCTGTGGACTTAATACCTTGCGCACAAATTTACTCAATTCTCCATAACTCATTTAGTCGACCGTGAGCGGACGAGAAGACTATAGTTCTTTGTTTTGTAAACCAAGACCGTTGTTTGGGATAATCTAACACTGATTTTGTTTAATGTGACTAAGAAAACGATGTAATTATTTACAGTGCCAACTATCCTCCCAGACGGCACCCGCGCGATCCACAACTGTCACACAGTTTTTGTTTCTCAATTGCCGATCTAGTAGTATACAATGAAGTCCTTATCCTTATTGCAAACGTACATACGCACGCAAGTCTATTAAAAAAAGACACATATGCACCTATATTTACGTTATTGTACACACGCACGTACATATATGCACATAATATACGTACTCACGTTCACACATAGATCGCGGATACACGCGCACTTGCGTTTACAAGTACACACACAAACACAACGCGCTTGCGCACGTATAGTTGACCGCCTGTAGCAAATACGAGTACATTGTTGCGTGTGATGCGCAATGGGGTATTCTTTTACAAATTTACATTCGTTAACACAACTATAATTCATCACTCATCAGAACACTTCATTGCATCTGGTCTATCTATACTTTTAAAATTCTAAGTGATTTATACTATTTACACAAAAGTGAAATCAACTCGAAAGATTTAACGATAAATGAATATTTTTGCTTATCTGTCCTTTATTTGAAAACTACTGAAACAATGATCACAATCCACTACCGGAGTATAGGAGACCAGTATCCAGCAGTTGACTGTTTATGGTCTGATGAAGATAAAACAACATTATGATCATATGTCATGATCAATTTAACTATTAAGTCAATCTAAAAAAGAAGAGTAACTTGTGGATTGCTCAGGGTAAGCTAAACGCAAACATGTCTCCGTGCATCCCTATACTTATATATTTCCGTCAAAGACTGAATAGTAACCACAACAATCTGGGTTGATATTATTATATTTACTACTGTGTTCTGATGTCAAAGAGAGACAGCCAGTATAATAACAGGTTGTAATGAATTTCACCTTAGTTCTCATGGGTGACAATGCATATGTAGCCTTCTTAATTTGCAGTTAATTGCAAGTTCCCGTAGCGTGGGTCTTGTCTTGTCTTACACTAATTATAATTAAAGTAAAATTTAAATAAAAAAAATCTCACTTATATTAACATAAACGTCGTCCAGTTCACTGTCATCGTCGCTTCGGTCGCTGTCAGAGTCTTCGGGTTGTTCTTCCGATTCCACGATGCCGGAGAACTCGATGTTAAGGAATGCGGATTCGATTCCTTCCGCTAGGTTGGGCGGTGGTTTGGATTGTTTTATTGATGGCTGCCTGTCAATTAAAAATATATAGTTAGTGTGTAGTTCAACGTGACACTCTTTACTATTGTTCAATAGAATACACGTATCACAGCACATTATCAACCAGGTTAGGATATTAAATTGAATGAATATTTTATAACTTTATCGACAACAGGCATGCAAAACCGGGGGGACGGGGGACAGCTGTGCCCTTCCCCTCCTCCGGTACGCCCATTGTTTGGAACAAGCTTGTCTATTTTATTACTTGTGATGATGATATGATAAAGAGAATTTGTGGTAAGATTATACAGTAAGCAGGTAAGAACGGTGTCACATAGCATAGTTTAAAGATAGTTCCTATCTATCGAAACTTGTTACGAGATAATAGACTGTTATTTAGGAATAGGCTACTGGAACTGTTATTTCAAAGGAACAAATACAGGTGGAACATATATTTGACAATTATTAAGTGATGTTCATCCCAATAATACGCTAAATGATATCACTGGTCACGTACTATTGAGGCAGATTCTTTTGCATAATAATTGCCACGAGCGAATTCCTGGCAGATTGCAAAAAAAGCACTTTCATCAACTGTGTGGTTGTGGCATAAGAGAACCCGTCATTTCATTGTTCCCATCAGTGTCGTAAGAGGCAAGTTTGAGGAATGCACAAAAAAAACTTATGGCTTCCGATAGATGATGGTATACTATCTCGTTTACGTCAGACGTAAAATAGAATTCGGCGTGAGGTAAGGAGCGTTAAAGATGCGAAACGTCTCGTGCTGCAAACGTCAGTCCAAAGCATGACGATTAAGGCAAATCCTTCCTATAAAGAAAGAGGCCCACGTCTTGCACTGGACTTTAACGGGCCGATGATGAAATAGAAGATAGAGATTTTATGATAGATAACTTGCACACTTATACAAACTTATTTACGTAACAGTTGTGTATGTATGATAGACGAATTCTTTAAAGGTGACATATTAACACAAACTTCCGACGCTGATATAAATTTGGTGTTTACAAGTATACGTGTGTATATATAGATGTATCGTGTAGGTCAATTATGAATACTTCTGTATTGTGCATGAGGCTACCGCATGAGTGTAAAGCTTTAAAAAATAACAATTAGTCTCAACAGCCTAGTCTATATTTTTAATTATAAAAAGTGTGTGGTGGTCTTGTACCTGTGATGACAATGAAGGGCGGACCCCACTACATAGTGTAGAAAGAAAGAAAATGGTAACAATGGAAGAAGTCGGTGGCTCAGGACCGTATTTGTAGCGTTAGTTGGTGGATGTTCAGCCGAGGACTTATGAAGAGTTGTAAAATAATAATCATCTAAAATAAAAGATGACGCCACACAAATAGATTGATTTAGTTTAACTGTACTTATGTGGGATTTAGAATATTTGGGTTGACATGAGGTGCGTAATATTAGTTTGCGGGATGATGGCGTACGTACACTTTTAATACAGTTGCTCAAAAAGTGGCGTATTGCAGGGACGTATAGCGTTCAGGATGTGGGCTATTACATACTCGAGCTTTTTCTTTACTTTTTCCGAACTCGTGCGTTCTCTTTCCCAACTGTCAAAATAATGTCTATTACAAAGAAAAAACCAACCACGGTTTTTACTAAAAAAATTCATACAAGTTTTTATGATTCATAAGCAAATATTTCTAAAAAAGAAGGTACTAATTTGTTTCAATGGTTTGATTCAATGAGTTAGGTTAGGTTTCATTTTATTTCATCTCATTAAATTTCATTTTCATTTCATATCAAAAAAAATTCTACTGAAGACTTGGCTGTTGGGCATAGTTTCCTTTGCCTACCCAGAATGGGTGAAGAAAACAAAAAAAAATATTCTTATATTCTTTTACGGTTGGCGCCATTTTCCAAAAATGCTCTTTGCGAGTTTAGTTGTTTATTGCACAAAATGAGTAATTTCGACGTTATTTTATTTGAATTAACACCACCGGAACTCAGTATAATTGCACAAAATGCTTCGGAGAACATTTTACCGGAAAAGTCAAAAAGTCGCTACATCTACATACGACGAATTTATTGCGTCGAGAGAAGAGAAAAAAGCAAATAGTTTTTCAGAAAATGTTATGTTGGCATACTTCTCCGAACTCTCAGCAAAATTAAAACCTTCTACGTTATGGTCGAGATTTCGACGACAAAAAGTATGCTGAAAATAAGGAACAACGTGGATATAAGTGAATACCCAAAACTAATTAATGCTTTCTTAAAACGACTATCAGACGGTTTTACAACTAAAAAGCCGAAAATATTAACATCGAATGAAGTGGAAAGGTTTTTGAACGAAGCTCCCGATGATCGTTATTTAGCCACAAAGGTAATTTATTAATAAATACTTATATTTTTCTTTAGTATTCAGTTTACGAAATCGCAAAATACAGTCAATATATTAGTTAAAAAATATTAATCAAATCCCTTTTTTTTTGTACCTGAATAAACAAATTTGGTAATATGCCAAAAGAAATAGCTACGTTTCTTGGTCTGTCGGATACTGAGTATTATACTGGGCACAGCTTCAGAAGGACCTCTGCTACATTATTGGCAGATTCAGGAGCCAATTTGACGTCCTTAAAGCGACTAGGAGGTCGGAAGTCAGACAAAATTGCAGAAGGCTATATTGCTGATTCATTAAACAACACACCAGTCCAGTCCGTCTCGTTCACATGACAATACTGAAGAGAACGTTCGTCCATCTACCTTCGTTGATAATGATAATTCATCAGATCAAATTCCATCAGCTAGCAAACGCCACTGTATAACACCTTTGACAAATATACATTAATACAAAATTAATAATAGTTTGTCTCAAACAGTAAATATGCAACCTAAGACTTCCCCAGTTAGTATAAAAAACTGTACAAATTTCAATGTATATGTGAATTACAACTTTTATAAGAAATAAATGATTAGTTAGTTGAGTTTACTGTGTTTTTATTATTTTATTAAATTGCTTAATTTTTTCGCAACTGTATTAAAAATAGTTGTTCAGTACACGTGCTGAACGGCGCTCTGCACGCGAGTCGAGCGCGGGCAGCATGTCGTCGATGACGTTCGCGTTCACGTGTGTGTGCGTGCATGTGTACGTGTGTACGTGTGTACGTACCGCTGCGGGCGGGCGCGGCGCTGCAGCTTGCGCTCGAGGCGGCGCTCTGCACGCGAGTCGAGCGCGGGCAGCATGCCGTCGATGAAGTTCGCGTTCACGTGTGTGTGCGTGCATGTGTACGTGTGTACGTGTGTACGTACCGCTGCGGGCGGGCGCGGCGCTGCAGCTTGCGCTCGAGGCGGCGCTCTGCACGCGAGTCGAGCGCGGGCAGCATGCCGTCGATGAAGTTCGCGTTCACGTGTGTGTGCGTGCATGTGTACGTGTGTACGTGTGTACGTACCGCTGCGGGCGGGCGCGGCGCTGCAGCTTGCGCTCGAGGCGGCGCTCTGCACGCGAGTCGAGCGCGGGCAGCATGCCGTCGATGAAGTTCGCGTTCACGTGTGTGTGCGTGCATGTGTACGTGTGTACGTGTGTACGTACCGCTGCGGGCGGGCGCGGCGCTGCAGCTTGCGCTCGAGGCGGCGCTCTGCACGCGAGTCGAGCGCGGGCAGCATGCCGTCGATGAAGTTCGCGTTCACGTGTGTGTGCGTGCATGTGTACGTGTGTACGTGTGTACGTACCGCTGCGGGCGGGCGCGGCGCTGCAGCTTGCGCTCGAGGCGGCGCTCTGCACGCGAGTCGAGCGCGGGCAGCATGCCGTCGATGAAGTTCGCGTTCACGTGTGTGTGCGTGCATGTGTACGTGTGTACGTGTGTACGTACCGCTGCGGGCGGGCGCGGCGCTGCAGCTTGCGCTCGAGGCGGCGCTCTGCACGCGAGTCGAGCGCGGGCAGCATGCCGTCGATGAAGTTCGCGTTCACGTGTGTGTGCGTGCATGTGTACGTGTGTACGTGTGTACGTACCGCTGCGGGCGGGCGCGGCGCTGCAGCTTGCGCTCGAGGCGGCGCTCTGCACGCGAGTCGAGCGCGGGCAGCATGCCGTCGATGAAGTTCGCGTTCACGTGTGTGTGCGTGCATGTGTACGTGTGTACGTGTGTACGTACCGCTGCGGGCGGGCGCGGCGCTGCAGCTTGCGCTCGAGGCGGCGCTCTGCACGCGAGTCGAGCGCGGGCAGCATGCCGTCGATGAAGTTCGCGTTCACGTGTGTGTGCGTGCATGTGTACGTGTGTACGTGTGTACGTACCGCTGCGGGCGGGCGCGGCGCTGCAGCTTGCGCTCGAGGCGGCGCTCTGCACGCGAGTCGAGCGCGGGCAGCATGCCGTCGATGAAGTTCGCGTTCACGTGTGTGTGCGTGCATGTGTACGTGTGTACGTGTGTACGTACCGCTGCGGGCGGGCGCGGCGCTGCAGCTTGCGCTCGAGGCGGCGCTCTGCACGCGAGTCGAGCGCGGGCAGCATGCCGTCGATGAAGTTCGCGTTCACGTGTGTGTGCGTGCATGTGTACGTGTGTACGTGTGTACGTACCGCTGCGGGCGGGCGCGGCGCTGCAGCTTGCGCTCGAGGCGGCGCTCTGCACGCGAGTCGAGCGCGGGCAGCATGCCGTCGATGAAGTTCGCGTTCACGTGTGTGTGCGTGCATGTGTACGTGTGTACGTGTGTACGTACCGCTGCGGGCGGGCGCGGCGCTGCAGCTTGCGCTCGAGGCGGCGCTCTGCACGCGAGTCGAGCGCGGGCAGCATGCCGTCGATGAAGTTCGCATTCACGTAGTCGCAGGCGGCGCCGCGCCCCGCGCCCACACACCCCGCCGCGCCACACCGCGCGCCCGCCGACACGCACACGCGCGAGTGGTCATCTGACCGCAAACAAAAAACTTTATTATTTCTCAAACAAACATGCTTAAAATATTTTTAATACAGTTGCTCAAAAAGTGGCGTATTGCAGGGACGTATAGCGTTCGGGATGTGGGCTATTACATACTCGTGCTTTTTCTTTACCTTTTTCCGAACTCGTGCATTCTCTTTCTCAACTATCAAAAAATGTCTATTAAAAATAAAAAACCAACCACGAAAATTTAACTAAAAAAAAATCATAGAAGTTTTTATGACTCATGCAAATATTTCTAAAAAGAAGCTACTAATTTGTTTCAATATCAGATTTAATGATTTGATTCAATGAGTTAAGTTAGGTTTCATTTCATCCCATTAAATTTCATTTTCATTTCATATCAATAAAAAAATTCTACGGAAGACTTGGCTGTATGGGCATAGTTCCCTTTGCCTACCCAGAATGGGTGAAGAAAAAAATCTCTGCTTATATTCTTTTACGGTTGGCGCCATTTTCCAAAAATGTTCTTTATTAAATTGCTTTATTTTTTCGCAACTGTATTAAAAATAGTTGTTCAGTACACGTGCGGAACCGTCATTGCAACTTCTTCCGACTGTCAACTCTCACCTTCGGCTGCGCCTCGGCTCGGGTAGACATTTGTCCGAACTCTTTGCAATGACAGGCTTTCCGCACTCGTAATGAAATATACTATTTATGAAGGCATATTGAAGCTCTATTCTGGGCCGTGCAAGTACCACGCTCACTTAGAACACTAACGTAAAATAGCAGCATAGTGCTACTCTGTTTCGAATGGTGGGTAGAGAACCGGTGATCAATTTTACTGTAAACGAGCCATTCCATCTCAGTCCTCAATTGTGACATTGTATCTGCAGTTGATTAAGGATAGCTGTAGGTGTCTATGGGTCACAGCATCTTTTAACCATCAGGTCGGATCGTTTGTTACGATTTTTTCATAAGTCAGCAAAAGAGCAGATATAGACTTGCGTAAGTAAATCATAACGTGTGCCACGACCTAACGGGTCAAAATGATATATACACATGCTTGACATGTCAATTTGTAACAATATAGCCATGTAAACAGGGAATCATAGAGTTCATAAGCAAAATCAGTCTATAAAGTAGAAAATTATGGAAAATCGATGGAATACACAAAACAACGAGACGCATACGCAAGCAACGAACGACAAGTTGTCAGTTCTTGTCAGAATACTCGAATTATACTGCGATTTCCTTTATCTATTTACCAAATATGACTGCTGTATTCTTAACACAAACATAATTATTATTATAGTGTTATTTATTCTCACACAGAAATATCCTTTCCAAGTATATTAATGTTATAAGCTTATAAGTAACGCACAACTTTTTATCTAACGGTCTAGATTTTATCACATGGCTACACTAAAAAGATCAGCTTAGCCAAAAGCCACAGTCTTAAATCAAATCACAAAACAAACTGAGCCATTTTACTTTTTATCATCAATAAACTAGTCTCTTTAGGATGACTTCAAGAAACAGGAGTTTTTGCGGAAACTTGACCGCCAGTGGATGGCTGCTTATATTTTATTTAAATAATGGTTTGAAGTGGATTTTGACGCGTAAAAGTGGTGCGATTTTGTGTATTATGCCTTCACATGTGATCCATTAGTGGAAATTATGTAACAAGTGCTTCGATGGTCTTATAAATCGCAAGATTTTTTATCCGTTTAGTGGCCTTGAGATATTGTCGTCATTAACCTTCCGCTGGGTTAAACTGTCGCTAAAATCTCTCAAGAACTTCGCAATGTGACGTATAAGCATATGTGTGAAATTTTGTGAATAAAATACGCATCAGACTAGGCTGAATTTATAAAGATCTTTGCCTGTCTTATATAGCGAATCGTGTCAACAACAACATTTAGTCAATTAAGTTTTCTGATGATGATAACTTTTGCCAGACTTCGCCATAGGCCATATACTTAATTTGATAAAACATAGTAAATTATTTTATCGATATCTATAATGGTGTAAAAATTTTATCAACATTTTTTCGCCATTTTTCCGCCCTTTGTAATCCTTTTATTAAGGTGGACAATAAAAAGTAAATAAATTGTTTAGTTTTTGATTTTAACTTGACATCTGAGAGAACTAACTCATGATTGCATGTGCGTATCAATTTCATCTTTGCTGTAATAAATCAATTGAAACGATTCGTGATCAATCAGTAAGAACATAATCATCATCATCATCATTACAGCCCTTCACAAGTCCACTGCTGAACATAGGCCTCCCCCAAAAAATGCCACAAAGCACGGTCCTGAGCCACCTGCATCCATCGACTTCCTGCATGTCTTACCAGGTCGTCACTCCATCTCGTGGGGGACGCCCTACACTTCGCCTACCGGTACGAGGCTGCCACTCGAGAACCTTTCTTCCGCATCGGTTGTCGGTTCTTCGAGCTATATGGCCGGCCCACTGCCACTTCAGCTTACTAATCCGTTGGTCTATGTCGGTTACTCTGGTTCTACTGCGGATATCCT